CTGTTAACTCTTGGTAAAGGTGTTTGTGCAAAATTTAGGGTTTTAGGGTCATCAAATCCTTTGGAATTTGCCCATATGCACMCATCCTAATTTCCAGGGTTCCATTCCTCCTTTTATTTTAATTTTTTTGGGCCATACTGGGGATTGAACCCAGGGGTGCTCCACCACTGAGCTATATACCCAGTCTTTTTATTTTTTTATTTTGAGACATAGTTTTKCTACATTGCCCAGAGTGGCATCAAACATCAAACCCAGCCTGCCTTCTTTTGCCTCAAAACCCTGTAATGAGTTCTCCTGAGGTGGTTGCCTTACAGAGGAATGTTGTCCTCTGGAAATATCCTTACCTCAATTTTCAGCCTACTATCACACAAATGATAAGGTGCAAGAACCTCAAATTATAAGGTAAAAGTTGTGATTCAGGACAAGGGAAAATACATACCAAAAGATCCTCCTGCCTTAACCTCCTGAGTTACTGGATTACAGGTATACACCACTGTGCCCAGCTGGGTTCATTCCTTTTAAATAAATCCCCTGACTTTAACACAAAGTTTGTGAAGTTTTCAATTTAATTTTCTATATGATTCATCTATTGCAGGATTTGATTTGAGTTTGCTTTTCAGAAAATTCAGTCTTTCTGCTTCTGGAGATAAGGATTTCATTTGAATCCAAGAATGCTTCACCATTGATCGACATCCCAGCCCTTTTCATTTTTAATTTTGAGACAGGGTCTTTGGGCCTTACTAAATTGCAAAGACTGGCCTTAGACCTGAGATCCTTCTGCCTCCGCCTCCTAAGTTGCTGGTATTAGAGGTATGCACCACCATGCCTGGTGAGTTACACAATTTCATGGCAGTTTTCCCTGCATTTGCATGTTACCCTCATGAGTTGCTTTCTTTGCATGCATTATGGCTCAGGGCCCCAAAGGCAGATTGAGCCCCAGTGAATGAGTCGGATTTTTGAAGTAGTTTTGGAAGTGACCCAGTGTCAGTTCCATGATTATAATCACAAGAAGTAAAATCAAGAATTGATAAATGGGATGCATTCAAATGAAAAATCTTCTTCTCAGCAAAAGAAACAATCAATAATATGTAGAGAGAGCCTACAAATTTGGAGAAAATCTTTACCACATGTACTTCAGATAAATCACTAATCTCCAGGATAAATAAAGAGCTCAAAAAACTTAACACCATAAAAACAAATAACCCAATCAATAAACGGACTAAGGAGCTGAACAGACACTTCACAGAAGAAATACTATCSATCAACAAATATATGAAAAAATGTTCAACATCTCTAGCAATTAGAGAAATGAAAATCAAAAYTAAGATTTCATCTCACTCCAGTCAGAATGGCAATTATCAAGAATACAAGCCACAATAAATGTTGGTAAGAATATGGGAGGAAAGGTACACTCATACATTACTGATGGGAATGCAAATTGGTGCAACCATTATGGAAAATGGTATGGAAATTCCTCAGAAAACTAGGAATGAAACCACCATGTGACCCAGCTATCCCATTCCTCAGTTTATACCCAAAGGACTTAAAATCAGCATATTATAATGACACAGCCACATCAATGTTTCAGCATATTATAGTGACACAGCCACATGTTTATAGCAGCTCAACTTATAATAACCAAACTATGGAACCAACCTAGGTGCCCTTCAACGGATGAATGGATAAAGAAAATGTAATACATATATATGATGGAATATTACTCAGCTTTAAAGAAGAATGAAATTATGGCATTTGCTGGTAAATGGATGGAACTGGAATATCATGTTAAGCAAAATAAGTCAATCCCAAAAAAACAAAGGCTGAATGTTTTCTCTGATATGCAGATGCTAATTCACAATGGTAGAGGGGTATGCTAGGGAAGAATAGAGTTACTTTAGATTAGGTTGAGAGGAATGAAGGGAGAGGAAGGGATATGAGGATAGGAAGGATAGCAGAATAAAATAGACATTATTACCTATATACACATTTGACTGCATAACTGATGATTCTACAATATGTACAAACAGAAAAATGAGAAATTATATTCCATTATGTATGATATATATCAAAGTGCATAAATATATTCTACTGTCATGTACAACTAATTAGAACAAATAAAAAAGATTTTAAAAAGAAAACATTACAACAAATTTAGTTTAAGGATATTAATTTGTTCTTATTTACAATTCTAGAATCTGGAAATACCTTATTCTGTAAAATAGAGTATCATGAAGAACACTATTCTATTCTGGCTCTGTAGACAGAAAAGGGGCTGAAGAAAGCAAAAACAGAACAGAAAGGTGGTTTCATCCATGTTTTCTGAGGAATTTCCATACCATTTTCCATAATGGTTGTACCAATTTGCATTCCCATTAGTAATGTTGGTAGTTCTTTGTAAATATTAAAGCAGAGAGGACTTTCTTATCATGGCTGCCAAGACTGCCTATTTGGGGATTTGGCTATTATGTCCATCTGTCTTTCTGTCTGTTTCTCTCTCATTTCTTGGCAGGCCAGATAAATAACTTGGTTTTGCTTTGTGGTATTGACCTTCAGCATGAACAATTCCATTTTGGATTTAGAGCTTAGTCTAAATCAGTGGTCTCCTATACATTTGTTCAGCCCCAGGGCTGCAAAGGCCCAAAGTGTACTGTTTACCCATCTCAAAGAAAGCATTTGGAGGACCCAACAGAGAGATTTTTCACTTTCTGCAAAAAAAAAAAAAAAAAAAAAAAAAAGGCTGTTTGGATTTGACAGGGATTGTATTAAATATATAAGTTGATCCCACCTAAAAAACTGCTAGCATTCAGTTTAGCTGGTTGTCTTTGCTGGCACAGTCCTTCGATAAATTTAAAATTTTGGGGTGGATATGGTAGTGCACACCTGCAATTCTAGCTACTTGAAAGACTGAGGCAAGAGGATTGCAAGTTGAAGGCCAGCCTGGGCAACTTAGCAAGACCTTCAGCAACTTAGGAAACCCTGGCTCCAAAAAAAAAAAAAAAAAAAAAAAAAAAAAAAAAAANCTTTGCTGGCACAGTCCTTCGATAAATTTAAAATTTTGGGGTGGATATGGTAGTGCACACCTGCAATTCTAGCTACTTGAAAGACTGAGGCAAGAAAAATAAAAGTTGAAGGCCAGCCTGGGCAACTTAGCAAGACCTTCAGCAACTTAGGAAAAAAAAAAAAAAAAAAAAAAAAGTAAAACGGGCTAAGTAGCTGGGTGGTAGAGCCATTTAATTTTCTTATTGCAGTTGTTGTGGGAGGATATAAGGCCTTCTTTAAACTAACTTACTTTACTTATAACTGGAAATGCTCACAAATACTTTTTTTTTTTTGGCTGGGCATCAAATTCAGGTTCTCTTTCCTGCCAGGCAAGTGCTCTACCATAGAGCTATACCCACAGCCTCTCATAGGTAACTTTTAAGATTATTTTAAGTATTTTATATATTTGAATATATAATTAACAATCCCTGGTGTCTGTCCTATACCAGACAGGAAAAACAGAAAGCACTTTTTACAATTAGCATGCTAATTTCCTCCCAAGACCACCCAAAGAATGTTACTTTCCTCCACATCTTACTGATGGTTATACTAAGGAAGAGAGTAGTTGTAAAGCAGAGTCTAATATCAGAACTGTACAAAGCAAAGAATCTGTTTCTGTCCTGACAGTCTGACTCCAAAATCCTCTCCTAAAAACAATTATACCATAAAACTGAAAAGGAGTAAAATCCAAATTACAGTCTAATTTTAACATTACTGATCTTAAAAAATGAAGTCATGAAAAATGAATTAAGTAGAGAAAAATAAAACGGAATGTTTACATGTGAAGATGTTTAGATTCCCCAGTGGAAAACACATGCTATTTTAAGTGACCAAGACATATTTAGAAAATTGCAGACTATTTTAATTCAATAATAAATATTTAAGTATTGGATTGACCCAAGGGGGTAACTTTACCAAAGGTCTATGTATGAGAAATATGTCTGAAAAATATTAACAATGGATGAAAGCCTAATGAGGAAAAAAGAGCTATTTAAACCTAGATGATGTCCCTGAAATCTATTTCTCATTTTGGGATTATAAGACAACAATTCCTTCCAATCATGTGAGGTGTGTGTGTGTGTGTGTGTGTGTGTGTGTGTGTGCACATACATGTGGACACACGTGTGCACTTGCTTATAAATAATAATTACACATAGGTATTATGTATAAACTACCAGATTTTAAGCTGTATGAACTTTCCTGGAGTTTATAAGAAAAACTGGAGTGCTTTTTATAGGAAAAATTTTGATTCTTTCTACATAAATCTGATATTAAAAATATATTGGGGCTGGGAATTTGGCTCAAGTGGTAGTGCGCTCGCCTGGTGTGCGTGCGGCCCGGGTTCGATCCTCAGCACCACATACAAACAATGATGTTGTGTCTGCTGAGAACTAAAAACAAAAATTAAATATTAAAAGTTCTCTCTCTCTCTCTCTCTCTTTCTAAAAAAATATAGAGAGGTGATAATTCTAGTTATGACCAAGCTTTATCCAACAATTTGAATACTCACTATATGTTCTAAATATTAAATTTTAAAATTTTACTAACAAAAAACCCTGAAGTTTCTGAACACARATCATGAGGAGGTTAAACAAGGAAAAAATTGCAAAACGATGAAACAGAATATGTCTTTATTTGCCTGCTAGCAAATGAGAATGTAGCTTTCACCCTAATGTCAGCTATGAAATATACCAGGGTATGGGAGGGACATAAAGTATATGAGTCAGAATTAATTTGAACAATTATAGGAGTGCACTGTTTTCCATAAAAAGGACTGAATTCTTCCATGAGCACTGTGGTGATTTTCGTTGACACTGGTCTCAGAATTTAAAAGAAATCTGAACATTACTGTGCACTCAGAAAGCAAGTGCACATAGAATTTAAGCTCAGTACATTAAAGGAATCACATCTAGTGATCCTAGGCCTGTCTTCTTTTTGCTTTTTTCCCTTCTGGTTTCAACATGGTTAATGTACTAGCAAACATTGCTTCCATTCTCATAATAGTAGAACTTGTCATTGGAAATTTTGCCAATGTCTTCATAGCCCTGGTGAACTGCATTGACTTGATCAACAGACAAAGGATCTCCTCAGCTGATGGAATTCTCTCYGCTCTGGCTGTCTCCAGAATTGGTTTGTTATGGGTAATATCAATAAATTGGTATTTTACTGTGCTCAATCCAGATATATACAGAAAACAAACAGAAATTATTATATGTATTGCCTGGGAAGTAACCAACCATTTTAGCACCTGGCTTGCTACCAGCCTCAGCATATTTTATTTGCTCAAGATAGCCAATTTCTCCAACTTTATTTTTCTTTACCTAAAGAAGAAAGAGAGGCGTGTCATTCTTGTGATAATGTTGGGGACTTTCATGCTTTTGTTTTCTCATCTTGTGATAGCAGGCATTTTGGAGACAATGCAGATGAACGAAAATATAGGGAATGTGACTCAGAATACTAAACTGAAGGACATCACAACCTTTTTAAATATGACTGCATTAACTCTACTGAACTCCATGCCCTTTTTCATATCCCTCATCTGTGTTCTGCTGTTAATCTACTCCCTGTGTAAACATCTCAGGAGGATGCGGCTCCACGGCAAAGGATCCCAAGACCCGAGCACCAAGGTCCTCCTGAAGGCCCTACAAACGGTGATCTCCTTTCTCTTGTTACTTGCTGTGTACTTTGTGTCCTTCACTATATCAGGTTGGAATTCTAAGAATCCTGTCACTCTACTGTGCCAGGCTGCTGGCCTGCTCTATCCTTCAAGCCATTCATTTGTCCTGATTTGGGGAAACAGGAAGCTGAAAGAGGCCTTTCTGTCAGTTTTGTGGCAGGCAAGATGGTGTCTGAAAGAACGGAAACCACCAAGTCCACAGATCAATAACAATGACACCATGTGACTTCTGGCAGGTTTCAAACTGATGGAATCTGCAACATTTTATGCTTCTTACCACTTTTTTTCATAGTGTATATATATTTGAGAAATTTCTGAAGATATGCCTAGAAAGCCTTTTACCTATGCTTATTAAATAAAAAGATATGAGCTTGTCTGTTTGTTTGTGTGTATGTATGAAAAACATGAGGATGCTTGTCAATAACATACCCTTAATATTTTATTTTGCAAATAAATTAATTATGCAAAATATGACAGGATACAAAATATATGTCAGAATTATGAAACCATGTGTATTTGACATGCACATTCTATTTTATCCTCCATTTGAAGAATTTATGATTTGTATTTATGCCCTATGTAGAACTGTCAGATTATTTCAGGAAATTTTTGTTTTCCATGGTTCCTTGTACAGCATATATGTATCAAAGTGTATTAGATTTCAGTGTTTGAACCTCCAACTGTTTTGGATGGCAAAACATTGAATTCTAAATCACTTATCAAAGATGTATGTTTTGAGGTAAGTTTATTTTTTCCAAGATTCTTATTTCATGTTTAATAGAATAAACAATTATTATAAAACATTCACACAATAATATTCAAGACTAACAAACATCTGTTGAGTAGATTTAGCATGAATACCATAATTGTACAAAAAAATAGATTTAATACAAAAAAGTGAGAAGCTTAGAAAAAGAAACTTTCTATAAAGGGATGGAGAAGGTAGGATTATGATCATGACTTGACTTCAATGCTATTAACATTTCAGTACACAGTTAGGAAACTCATTTCTTGCTTTTCCTGCAATAACAAAGACTTTTTATTGACATTGAGGTCTGATTTTAAATATTTCAGCTTTTCTTAAACCATATCTGGACCTCTTAAATGCCAACTATTTCTTTCATTTTTYATTCTTAAAAATTTCTTTGAGCTTAACAGATGAGGACTCTACCTTTCCTTATCTTAAAAATATGCTTACTACAAAAATAACACATAAATCATTACCCATAATTCAATGAACATATCTGAAACCATTAAAATGGCATCTTTGAAATTCATGCGATAATTATAGAGAATTTCTTGAAATTCTGGTTTAGTATAATTTTGTGTAAAATGTGGAAATGAGAGAAAGTGGGTTGACAACCATAAATGGTAAGTTCTATTATAAGAAGGAAATGTATAACTTTATGATAGCTGAATTCTACTGATTGTATTCTTGGTGTTGTGAAATCTTAACGTTATCATCTAAAACAAGTTAGATCATTTTCACAACTAATTTATTTATGTGTTTATCATTCATCTTCCCAGTACATTGTAAGCATCACTGAAGCAGAGATTGCTTTGTCTTATTTACTGTTTATTCCCAGCACCTAGAAGCCAGCACAAGGAATATTATAAAAAATGATGTTTTACTGAATAAAATGGTTGAAAGAATGTATGAAATATATGAGGATAGGTAAACCATTAGAAATAAAACTCATCACAAAATCTTCAGTTTGCATGGATTTCTAGGTTCTTGTTTTATGTTGAGGTTACATGTTTAATCAAATAAAATCATTTCTCAGAGCAAAACACTAACTATTCCACAATTCCAATGAGAATATTTCTAGACTGTAGACTTGATGCAATTATATTAGGAATGTGATGTGAAGAAAAGTTGGAACTCCAAAATTAGATAACATGACAATAGATGACACAGTAGTTTCAAAAAAGCATATAGAAATTCTGGTAAATTTGCATATATTTTTTTCTACTGTGAGTGACATTATTATTGTGATATGTTGTAGTTGCCTAATTTCTACACAAAAATGGCTTTTGATTTAAAAATTTAGCTACTATTTTTTTTTCTTTTTGTGGGATGGGGATCAAATCCATGGCCTCTCCCGTGAGAGGTAAGCACCCTACCACTGAGCTCCAATCCCAGCCCAACCCCAACCACTGCCTTTCTAGAATGTTATTTTGATATATTTTTAATAGTAATCTCTCTATATAAACTTTTTTTTGTACCTAGGATTGAACCCAGGTACTGTACCTTTGAGCTACATCTCCAGCCCCACTTAATTTTTTTTTTTTAATTTTGAGACAGGTTCTCACTTAATTGCTGAAGGTCCCAGTAACCTGCTGAGGCCAGTCTTGAACTTGCAATCCTCCTGCCCCAGTCTTCCAAGTTACTGGGATTACAGGTGTGTGCCACAGTGTGCCTGGATCTCCAAATAAACATTTTATCATTGTTCTGTAAACTCAAAGAAAAGTGAACAAATAAAAATTATAAAATTCAATGGATATCTTAAGCTTGGGGCTTCTAAAACCAGATTCAACGTTAGGGATTAAATTAATAATATGTGGAAAGTCAGATCCAGGGTGGAATTCCAGAGGACCTGGAATCTAAGAGGAGAGAAGAGGGGGAAATGGTGGGAAATGACGTGTTATTCTGCTGGCTGCCATTTCACAATGAGCTGAGAGAATCATTGTGCTGGGCACAAGAGGGCACTTGATGTCCAGGACTTCCCTAGGAAGGTCCACAGGTGGACCTGACCTGCCTCAGTCCTTTAAAGAGAGAGAAGAGTACAAATTGGTCTTCTCAGTTCTCTTCTTTCTACAGTTATCCATTGTTCAGGGTTTACCTAGGGCAGAACCAATCTCTGTTTTTTAAGTCTTAAACCATACAGCTCCTTGGTGGCCATTTACAAAGTTAGATCTCATGCTCACAGGATGGAGTTGCTATAGTACAAAATAAAAAGATAACCTGGATCACACAGATGTTGACCAAGAGAACAGGAATTGTCAAAATACCTGAAGATATGCACAGATTTGTGTTCAATACAGTTCACCCCTTGGGCACTGAGGTGTGCTCATGCCCTCCAACAGTGACTTTGGCTTTGTAAACATATTAATTATTAGCTGTTGAAGGCTCTGTGCTTAGAGAGACCTTATGCTTGTTTTAATTGTCTGTTTTTACCATTTTATTTCTTCTTCTGATGAAGAAGAGGTGGCTTCATGCTAATTCAGTGGGGGGTTTTTCACCCTTATGAGTTTTGTCAGAGACATGCACAGCATCCTTGCCCACTTACAAATGCCTCTATCAGCCTTGATCTGCTGAATCACCTGTCAGAGCAATGGGCAGAACATGTTGGATATCAGCCTGCCTGAGTTGTTGAACACTCTTCTGCTCTGGGGTCGCTTAAAACCAGCAGCCTTTGAAGAAACCCCATAAATGAGTTAGTGCCACATCCCTAAATGTGGTGATGTTGTCTTCAGAGCACAAAAAGGCCAAACAAACACTGTGGCACTTTTAGTGACAAGAAATAGAAGGTAGCTTGAGAAGACAGTAGAAAAGATGTTTGCCTATGTAGATCAGACCACTGGACCCTTAGAACATTACTTGTGGTGGAGGTCCCTAAATCCTCTCAGGTTTTTCTCCCTCCTACAGAATTTTCCTTTTCTGTAATGTTATGATATTTTACAATATTTCAGGAACTTGCCACTTCCTGCTTTGGGTACGAATTAATATAACATCACTTATATGTTATATTTAATGAGCACAGTGTTTGGAAAATGTTAATGAAACTGGAAGCAGAAGAAGTGGTACAGTCCTGACATACCACTGTGAGGTGTTCTGCAGCTCTTAACAYACAAATGTTAGCCTGATTTTCCCCCCAAACGGCTATAGGTGGAACATCATTCACCAAGTCAATAGCCAGAAAATAAGTGTCAGAGGCAATGTTTGGCTCAATAAAGATTTTGCTTCCTGGAGCATTTATTATTGTAAATCAATCTATATTAATCTGCACTCATTGTATATTCCATCTGTCCATTGCAGGGTCAATATAGGTTAATTTAATAGTGTCACGAGAAGGAGCACCACTCCTCTATTTTCCAGTGTTTTGATAGTTCAGTAATTAATTTTATTCCTTGGAGAATGTGGTCATTCTATCTTGCTCATTATCAGTAGGGTATACGATAATGTCCACTATTGTAGAGACCAGGAGCAATATGAAAGTTTTGCCAATGGCTAAATCTGCCCATTTCAATCAGGTAAATAACTGTAACCCCATTAGACTAACCTTGGGATGGACGTGAGTCCAAGATCTAGGGAGATTCCAATATTCCGAAATTCCCATGCTATGCAGTGGACCACAAGGCCTGTTGGGGTCCCCAGGTATTAGAATCAGGTCAGATCTGGAAATCCCAGAAAATGTGGATATGTGATGTGCCTTTTCCTCTGGGGACTGTTCGCTGGTAATGCTCCAAGTCTTTGAGAAACACCATATGAGGACATCCTGACTAATCCTGAGGTGCATGTTGAGTCTTTTATCAGGGGGCTTAGCCCTGGATTCTGCTTCTTGACTTATCCTCAAAGCTGGGTGAGCTCTTYGAAGGTTGAGTTCAGAAATACAGTTTTTTCTTGTTTCCTTTTAGTTTACAGTATTTAGCAGATAGCAAGACCTCTTCACCGCTGTCTTCTGGACCTGCTTCCCTCAGGTGTTGCTTAAGACTCTCCTGAACCTGATCCTGCAGGGTCTCCAGTGAGTCCATGCTGCCAGTGCTCAGGCTTCAACCCGCAGGAGCTCTGAGCAGCCCTGAAGGAAACCTACTTGCTTCCCAGGATACCGCCCTCTCCTGGTTATGTCCTTGTCCACTGAGCACAGATTCTCTGTCTCTTTTGCTAGTACTTACTCTTCTCCCTAAAGAGTAAATATCAGGTGGACCAAGAGCTCAGTTTTACAAACTGGAATCAGTTATGCTGACCTTGCTGCTAGTCCTTACTGAGAGCCTAGCTGAACCGTCCCAAAGAGTTGAATAGCTTGACTGTTCAAATCTGTCTATCTATATATCTGTCTATCATCTATCTAGCTTATACTGGAAAGTATACTTTTCTTCTTTGATGGGAAAGGTATGTTCAAAAATAATAATATAAGAAAACCACAACAAAATCTAGATAGAAGGGAGCTTCAATAATATTTTTGCTTGAATTTCTACTAAATCAGACTGGTATTGGGTCCTGAA